GGCCCGAAACGGGTCATAAATCCGCGGCCTATTACCCACCACGTGGTTCGCGGTTATTCGAGTTCAAGCGATCGTTCCTAATTATATGTCGCGTTTAATTGGGAACTTTTAATTAAAAGTGGCCGCGGCACCGAGAATCGAAACGACAAAACACACGGCCCATTAGGCGAATCTCGATTCGAATAATAAGGGGGAATGCGGATACGGAGAAAAAGCGTATATATAGGGTGCTCCAATTTTTTTTTCTTTTACATTTTATAGTTTATTGTATGCTGATATAAAAATATACGAATCTCTCTCTCTCTCTCTCTCTCTTTATCTATCTATCTATCTATCTCTATCTATCTATTTATCTATCTATCTATCTATCTCTTCTTAAATGTTCATTTATTAATATACTTTTCCCAAAATTGTGGGTATTGTTGTCTCCTATTTTTCAATGTTTTCGTAATTGGCTTGAAACCAGTTGATGAGGAAAATTTAATAATTAAAGTGCTCCAATTTTTTTTTCTTTTACATTTTATAGTTTATTGTATGCTGATATAAAAATATATGAATCTCTCTCTCTCTCTCTCTCTATCTATCTATCTATCTATCTCTATCTATCTATTTATCTCTTTTTAAATGTTCATTTATTAATATACTTTTCCCAAAATTATGGGTATTGTCTCCTATTTTTCAATGTTTTCGTAATTGGCCTGAAACCAGTTGATGAGGAAAATTTAATAGTTGAAGTTACGAGTAAAGTTACTATTCGTAACAATCGCGAATCATTGTAGTGCCAAAACGGTAACAATAATTTTAATTGTTTAAAGTAAACTTTTTTGGAAATTTTTTCAACTAGATTAATGTAATCTATAACTCTGATCGAAAGAATCAAATTTTATTTAGTATTTCGAATAAAATCGCCCTAAGAAGGAAAGCAAATAAATAAACGTAGTTCTAATGGAACGGAGCGATCTCATCTCATCGAATGACAAAATGTGCCCTTTGTCATTTCTCTCCGTACTTACACTAATATAATCCATCGACTTGGAAAACCGATTTCTTCGATTCCATCTTCTTATCCCAATGATAATCACCAATCCTTATTCGTCCGCTAAACAACGAAATATCTGGCTTTAATTCCATCTGTGGAAACGGTTTCCTCCGTTTATTTATTCTTTTATTTTTTTTTTTTATTTCTCTTCGTCTTTCTCGTTTTCGAAAGCCGAAACCGATCGTCAACAATCGGTTCGATTGCACACACGATGCGTAAGGGTGTAAAGGATACGGGCGCGCGATATTTCGTCGCGAGAATAATCCCAAAACCTCCCCCCTCCCTTCCCCGTGGACGTCACTTTCCATTTGCACGTACGGAATTAGCGAACCGCACCGACGAAACGCATCAATCGGGAGGATCAGAGTCGGATAATTTGTCGCGCCTCTATCCTCCTATCCTCGAGCCTATCGCGGACAAATGGTGAGATGCGAGAGGGCTTGGGTATATACGCTTGGAATAAAAGGCTTTAAAAGGGAGAAGCTACCTTTCGATGGGGTTAGAGGTGGTTTTTTTTCCTTTTTCCTTTTTTTTTTTTTTTTTTTTTTTTTTTTTTTT